CGAACGTAAACACACACACACACACACACACACACACACACACACACACACACACACACACACACACACACACACACACACACACACACACACGCACACACGCACACACACACACACACACACACACACACACACACTCACGCACGCACACAAACACTCGCACACATACACACGCGTGCACGCACGAACACGCACACTCACCCATACCATGCAGGAGATGTTTTAAGTAATCTAGCAAAAATTAATGGTGAGATATATATATATATGTATATTGCACGGAACTGACTCGATGGGAAATAAAACGCGGAGGCAGCACACAGTGTCTGAAAATTCGGAAAAAAGCTGACCCGACGAATAAAATATCATAATGCGTGTTCCCTCGAACTATATCAGACGCGACTACTAGTAGTAATTAATATAATACAAACTCGCAAAAGAACCCGTGAAACCTCGTCCACTAGCAAACGAAAGAAGGACCTTTCGGCGGTTCATTTGCTCGTTGATGAACTAGGCTCTCACTCATCGAATTATGCATAATTCTGCGTAATTAACACCCATCTCCACCTGCAGACGACGAATCGACCGCTCTCAAAAACAACTGCATTGAAGATCCGCTTAAACACGTGAATACCCTGTAACGCCATACTGTGTACAACTGCTGCCCAGTGTGTACACGCACACCTTCCCACTGAACCGTAATTATTTCACTAGGGTACGGGCATGGAAGCACTAAACATGGAAGAACAATACAATATAATGATTTTAGCTATCATTCGAATAACATTACTGGAAGATATAACTGTAACATTACACGCAAGAATGACGTCACGCTAGGGATCAAACATGGCAGCATGGCCATGTCGCCTGCGATGACGTCATCGAATTGGAAGACAATGATTTGTTGTATTTTGTTACCAACAAAACTTATTAAAACTATGTACAGAGACACTTACGATGTTTCTAACTACGGGATAACACTCAAACAACATTCAAGTACCACTAGATTTCTACACGCTAGAAATATTTTAAACAGACTCATAAAATACTGGCAGGTTTACCATTTCGATTCCGTACCGTGTGATTGCAAGTATATTATTGGACTTTATCGACCATAGACAATCGTTCAGTCGCGCCACCTAGCGGCTGAGCATTCTTATCGGTGGCCACCCAAAAGTCATTACAAGCTAACTTATCAGTCACTATCACAATAGCATTATATAATGGTGGGGATGCTAGTTAATTGGAAGAACTCTCTTTGATCATCTTGATTCCACTGCCGCAGCCGCCGCTGCAGCAATAGTGTACCGAAGGCAACTACAGACTAGCTACAGTGGTCCCCACAACATCACACGCACACACACACACACGAATGCGCGCACGCACGCGCGAACGCACGCACGCATGCATGAACCGCAGTGTATAGTTGTGCACTGACACCAAGAGTGTTCGCACGAGTGTCCTATTATTGCCAGTTTGTAGTGGATGCGTGCGCACACCACATGGCGCCCCCTTTCAACCACATTTGCACCACGTGGCGCCCCCTACACCAACTCCTGCGCCACCTGACGCCACCAACACCCGATCGCGCACCGAGGTGGTGCCTGCTTTTTTATTCTCGTGCCACGTAGCCATCGCCTCATCGCCCTGCGATCGCGCTACAGGCTAGCACAGACGACAGGGGTGATGAGAGTGGCGTAGGCTTGCACACCATGCACCCTTGTCATTGCTACATTGCCTTTTATTAACCGTCCCGTGTATCCTACTCAGTGACAGTTAAAATGACAGTTCTCGTTCGCGCAACACTCTGGGCGACAGTGCGAGCGCACACGCAAACAATGCAATGCCAGAGCGGCTCGACACGAACGCGAAATCAACATAAATATTCTGGTGGTTCGATTGAAAGCAAAATGGTAGACTTACGCGCAGATACGCACACATATACGAATGGCACGTGTCCTCCCTATATGTGAGTAGGGAACATCTCAACTCTCCCTCCGCTCTTACCCTCTCACAGCGGCAATGAAGGGCGGGATGTCAAACCTTGTCACACGGATGGCATCGGCACGACTGAGACGTGTGAAACATCTTTGGTGGTTACGACCCTCATAGCAGAGATCTCATTCTCTCTCTCTCTCTCTCTCTCTCTCTCTCTCTCTCTCTTTTCTCTGTCGTTGGGGTCCCGCGACGTCTCGCTGAGTGAAGGCAAAATGCGTCGCTTGCTGGCACGGCGCAGGGGCGGGTCGCG